ATGTCAGGTCACAAAATCAATACTAATGACTGTTTCACAATTATTTCACATAACTCTAATTCAAGGTTATTGAAGGTGATGGAAGCACTTTGGGGGATTGATCACATACAGTCTAAACTGTGTGTACAAAAAACAATAGACTTCAATCTTCGCCTACCATGGACAACATGACCTATCTAAATATGATTGGTCATTAGTATGTACTTTTGTTTTTATTTAACTGAGTAATTGTCATGATCTTTATTTTATTATTGTTAACCATGTTAGTTGTAAAGCGGTTGTAAAGAAACTACGAAATGATGCCGTTATCTCGCGAAATTTATCTTCTAAATGCCTTATTTATACAGTTATTATTCTCACATTTTGTACTCTGCACATTTTTGACTTTATTCCTCACTGTGTAAAAGTGAACAAATTCCTGTGGTGGTTACTTTTATATACTTTTTTATATTTTGAGGAAATCAGATGCACTATTGTGACAAATGTTGAGAATTCCATGCCATATTATATATATATATATATATATATATATATATAGAGAGAGAGAGAGAGAGAGAGAGAGAGAGATTTAAACAAGAGAAGTTTTTTAATTATTCAATATACATATAATTAAGAAAGTCATGTCTGTAGAGAAAGAAAAGAAAAATTTGCTGTGTAAATAAAGATTTTTATATGCCTTATTATTATTTAATTAAAGACCTGCATTACATTACCTTGAGTACATACAGAAGAGAGAGCAAGTAATACTTAAACGTACATACACACGATGAATATTTCTAGGCACAAGCATGTACGACGTACGGGTCAAGAGTTTTCTTCAATACATACATACATGATACATTAGAAAACTCCATTTTACTACATTAAGTAAGTTACAGCAACAAGAACCAGAACAACAGCAACAAAGCAGGACACACATAGAAGAAGGTGTGTTGTTTGCATGTCTGCCCTTTTACAATAGAAAAACATACACAAATAAACGTAGTTTCTCTCTTTCTCTTTTGAGTACTACTGCAGTCAGAAAAAAAGAAGAAACGTAATCAAAGTTTGGTTCAATAAACTGAGAAAAGTAGCAAAGTGTTGTTGTAAGGTAAAAAATGCACACAAAGGTACACAAATACACACACTCGACACACATTTTGGTGAATTTTTATGAAATGTGTCAGGACAATAAAGACAAATAATGAAATCTGTGCGTATTGAAGTCCTCTATCTCTGCCTGTCTGTCTGCCTATCTCACACTCTATTGTGAAGAGTTAATTAAAAGCTCATATTATGTTTATCCATTGTAATTTATACACGCATATTATTTACTTTAATGAATGTGTGTATGCTAACTCTTAGAAGAGCTTTAGAAATATATATATATATATATATATATATATATATATATATATATATATAAAGAAATAATTTACTCTAAGAAAGCATGAAGTCAGTGTAGATTGCATATTTCAAATATTTACTGGGTTTTTGTTTACAAATGAAATGCATTATTTACTATATTACAATAATCAATTTACAAAATTTCATCATAAACTGGCATCGATTAGAGAAATACTGGAAAACCAGGAAGGCGTACTACTAGGCGGCAGCTGTTTCGTCTTGCTATTCTGGCATTCTCTTCAGTAGTAGCAGTAGTACACACTTACCGGTCAGGACCACACGTTCAGGTTACAAGATGAGCTCGTAGACCATTAAGCCACCGGGAACCGACCCGACCCGATGATCACAATATATGGTGCGACTGGCACTACTAGCCAATGTCATCGCTGGAAAGTAATTGTCCACATACCAGACCTGGTGTATCCCCCTAGTAGCGAATTCCCACTAAAACCCAGGTAACTAACAACCTGAATAGGGTCAGTCACTAATGAGCAAAGTGTGGACTGCTGTAGAATCTCAAGCTAGGCTGACGAAACAACTGTGCAGTAATCCCTAGTTTTCCAATGGTTCTGTAACCAATCAAATCCCTGCAAACCAATACTTGAATAATAAATTTACTCAATAATATGAAGATGTTCGGAGAAATGGATGAAGAAAATCAAACAATATCATTCGATACAGAATGTAAATATATCTATTTGTAGATGCACAATGGGATATCTGCTGTATTGTCATTTGCTGCTTTCGCCTAATGGATGGTGATTAACACAGTGTGGAATCTGAAGATGCATATTTCATTTCCTGTTTGGAACTCCTCAGCTGGGTGATGATGATGGTGGTGTTCCCACTGAGACTCAAAGCCAAACTCCAAGTCGTTATCCCCCCTAGGTCATGAGTGCCACACCATCACCTTTTGTGCAACGCATATATAGTATCAAAGAACAACTGGTTATTTAATGTGACAACACTATCTTAATCTGATAGACAGATACTAATGTAATGGAGTGGAGTGGTTCAGAGGTAGAATAATGCCCACCAGGCAAGCAAGTGGTTCCGGTTCGATTCCCCGTTTATGCACTTTTATACCTCGGTTAGTTTACTAGTCATTTGTGAGGCCGGAAAAGAGAGAAGATTGAAAGGGAGACTAGCAACCTCATCTATTGAAATACACACGGACTACTGAAACTTTATAGTTTTAAAAGCATACAGGTCAATATTCCACTCAGAATGCAGACGAATATCTAACAGGGCTGAAGTATCAGTGTAAATTTGTCATGCCTTTTTATACAGATTATACTTGAATTCAGTCTCAGTGGGTACATGGACCCACACAAAAAACTTGGAGGATCTGGACTTCGCCGATGATATATGTCTGATTACCCACAAACTGGAAGATATGCAAGTGAAAAGCAACAAGTCGGCAGAAGAAGCATCAAAGATAAGATAGGACTTCAGGTGAACATAGAGAAAACAGAGGTGATGAAGATTCCTGGCCAACACCAACAGACAACAATAAGCATAAATGAGAGGAATCTGAAAGAACCAACCTCCTTCACCTACCTGGGAAGCATCATTTCAACTGCAGGCGGAACTGACGAGGATATCAAAGTAAGGATCAGAAAAACAAGACAAGCTTTCACTACTCTCAAGTCTGTGTGGAGGTCAACAGCACTCAGCATCAAAAATAAGATCCGGATTTTCAACTCCAATGTGAAGTCAGTGCTACTCACTATACGGATCAGAGACTTGGCCAGCGCGTCATAAAGAGCATCTCAAACAAACTACAGGCCTTCATTAACAGTTGTCTTCGCTCAATACTCATGATCAGATGGCCGGCCAGGAAAGATCAGCGACAGAGATCTCCGGGAGGGAACCAACCAGGAACCGATTGTGAAACAAATAGGCAGGAAGAAATGGAGATGGATTGGTCATACTCTGAGGAAACCATCAAGTGACATCATTAGACAAGCCATCAATCGAGTGGAACCCGAAAGGGAAGCGGCGAGTTGGTCGTTAGTGCGAGGATGGCTTGGAGGAGGTCATGTGAAGAGGAGATGAAAGCATGTGGGCAGGCTTGGAGCCAGGTGAAGACTCTAGCAGAGAATCGAACGGCTGAAGCTCTATGTTCCTCTAGGAATTAAAGGAAATAATAATAGTAATAAATAATCAGTGGGTACACACCATTATTAACTGGCAATGCAGGTATATATCCACCATAGTTGACAAATCCCGAATAGGACGAAATGCCTAATCTAGGATTCCACTGTTAGCCGTGTCACCAACTAAATGACATCATATGTCAACCGTCAGACATCGAGGGAGCCGACATATCAATAGAGAGTGAAGATTTCGATTCAATATATAAATATTGATCAACACGATGAAGCAAAGAACATCTTTGACATACTCTTAACGATGTGCATCCTGCAATAAATTTTACCATCAAGAAAGAAAGAAAGAAACTCCAGTATTTTATTCCTAATAATAATAATAATAATCCAATATAATGTTTAGTCCACAGAACAACAGAAATGTACTCTGATGAATGTCTCAGTGAAGGGGTCAATATTATTAAACACTTACCTAGAGAATCTATGAATCTAAAGTCAAGTCAAGCCGAAGTATTAACACTTTCGAGAAAAGCCTGTTTCTTACAACTTCAGTTCTTCAGTGGTGACACCCATGAAATTGTAATACAACACTTAAGGAATGCAGCAAAAAGAGAATTTAGTGCCACTGAAGTACTTTGTCTCTTCAAAAACACTCCTATTTTACGCCCGAAAGTTAGAGATAAACTACCTGATTTAGTGTCTTGTATATATATTCATCAATTTGACTGCTCCTGTTGAAGCAGTTACATGGGGTGTAGTACAATTAGGCGTGTTCATCGTCGGATTTCCGAACCCCATTCTGCGTGGTTAATTAAGTAAAATTGCATGGAGGATTTCATCATGAGCTGACATCAGTTAGAGGACCACTAGAAAACCCTAGGAGTACTGGACAGCCGTTTTATCCTAGTTTGGGATTCTTCATCAGTACCCACCCTCCGGGGTTCGAACCCAGGACCTTCTGGTTACAAGGCGAGCTCGTAGACCATTGAGCCACTGGGACCCGATCCAATGGTCAGCTCATGATGAAATCCTCCATGCAATGAAACGAAATCCCCACGAAACCAACAGTTGAAAATTAAGTAAAAGACAAACAAATCTATTCAGAGCTGTATTCTATCTCACCTTGTGGATGCAGAACACAAGATTGATGTTAACAAGGCAGCTTTCAAAGTCATCTACCGTGCACACCAACTAATTTTAACTTTACCTTCAGACATTGTCTACTACATATTGCTGAAGCTGGCTGGCTGGCTGTTGGGATCCACATTAAGAAGCCTAACTTATGTATCCAAAAGAAGATGTTTGTTCAGACACTGTCCTTACCCCTCTTGTCCATCAAGGTTCCCTTAATTTTACTTGATATTCTATTTACCATTCCATTTTCTATGCTTGTTATAACTTGTGCATTCTTTCTTGTGAATACATGAAGAAAAATAGTTAGTACTGATAAATAATGATGATAATAATAATGTGAAAACAATAATAAGTGTTACTTTCACTCACCTAAATTCCATCCATTTTCATTCATATTACGACCGACAATAATAAAAAGCCAAATGCAATAGTGAAATCGTTCACGAACATCAGCACAGGCAATTTGAAATAAATTTGTTTTCCCCATTTTACGAAACACATTACCCTTTAACTCTACAAACTTTTTTTTTAATAATAAAAGTAAAAAGAACATGATTAACAAAATAAGAATCAATAAGCATAGAGAGAACTAGTATGCATGGTACACGAATACAATTACAAAGTTAAAACACACTAATATTATTACTATATGCTTACATACCACTGATGGTTTCTGAAAACGAATCTAACTGAATATAGTTCACCTAATTTACGAAGGACTTATAGGCTAAATGTCTCCAACAAAATGACCTGGTCTTTCTCTAGAAATGCTCTCCACGTAGCCCCACACGTTCATACTCTACCTACCTTTGCCAGCCAAGCTCTACAGACGGCCTTCAAGTGCCAGGGGTATTCCCCACAAAAGTGAAAGAGCGATTCCAAACGTCTGGCGCTTGCTTACAGTCTGTATGGTATACATCCAGGTCACCTGAGGGGGCTGGAAAACACCGATTCCAAATATATGGTGTACAACATGGGATCCAGAATTCGAAATGATTAAATGACGTATGAGTTGTTTTCGTCACCGGGATATACGGGGACATGGCTTTGGCGCTACTTCATTACCATGTGGATCAGATTTCGAGTCAAAGACTCTCCTTAAGGCAACCGCCCACTTCAGTCCGGGTTTCCGAGAAGTGAGTATCCCAGCCATTGATGCCCATAATGTACAATGTGCGTCAGTGGCACACCAGTAGAATGCTTGCCAACCACGCAGGAGGTTTGTCGTCCGATCCCCGGCCACCGACTTAATCGTTTGCCTCGCTAAGCCAGTAAGAAATACGACTGGTAAAGAGAGAAGATTGGGCATGAGGCTAGCAACCCCATCCCATAGGAATAAACACCACTGCTACCGAAACTCCAAAACTTTAGCTTGAAAAAATATGTTCCACTGGGAACGTAAAGGAATGAAATAATAAAAATAAATACATAATGTACCAAGTTTGCGTTTTAAGAAATGAAAAAAATTAATGCACCTCTGGATCTCAAAAAATGTGTTACTTCTGGAGAAACTGCCACTCAACACTCACTGCTTGGAATATGAAAGTGGAATTCTCTACCCCAATGAGGCGAAACCTTATAAAGTTAATAGTCACAATGAAATATTTATTTCAGGTTAGACCACAGATTGATATCAGTTCGAGAACCATTAAAAACCACGAAGTACTGTATAGCTGTTTCGTCCTAGTTTGAGACTTATTGGCAGTAGGCATCCACCGCCAGGGTTAGAACCCAGGACCTTCAGGTTTCAAGACAAACTCATAGACAATTCAGTCACTGGGACTCGTCTCAGTGACCAGCCCACGAATTCTACCTTCTACCAATTCGTGATTTTAGCGCAACCGCCACCACCACCGGTTGGTGCGTACTGCTAATGAGTCCCAAACCAAGACGAATTAGCTGTCCAGTACTCCCTGGTTTTCTCTAACTCATATCAACCCGTGGTCTAACCTGAAACAAATAGAACGCCTACAAACTAATTCTAGACAATATTTATTTGATGAAAATTTTAGCTACCATTAAAAGCCAATAAAATCCACAGGTGAACTAAAATATCTCAAGGGTAGTGTGTTGTATTAAAACTCAGTAATCGGGAAAAGATTTTTGCATGTATCAGACCATAAAAATAATATTATTGTGTAAGGGTCTGTCTGTTTTCGGCATAGAACTTTGCACCGGTGTGCGGCAGTTCGAGTCGCCACACTCCAGGTAGCACACAAAGCAAGAGAAGAAAGTAGGAGAAATGCATATTAGAGACACGAAAAATACCCATTTATTCATAAGTAAAAACACAGCTTTTTGTTCAGCGAAGAAATTTCTTTTCAACGACGTCATTTTCAAGCTGTACAGTCGTATTTATATTACAGAAAAGTTTATTAATTGGCACTTATTAATTGCTCAATCAATATGCATATATGTGATAAGAATAACGATAATTAAAATGTTATAAGGGGTGGCTGAACACTATCCAGTTTGGTTAATGAAAGGCGAATGTAGAACTGCGAAGTCGTCTATCTGTGATCACCTGTTAGAGTCAGGTCATTTAGCCCCACGTGATTCATCTTTCAAAGTTATCTACATGGCAAAATCGAATCGATCCAAAAGTTTACGTTTTCTTCACTTATGCATAGCCGAATGTGTATCCATATATGAACAAAAACCTAAATTATGTGTTCAAAAACGTTTTGTCAAACCCCTCTCTCTACCTTGGTCATAGTAATGTTCTTTCTAGTTTTTATCTTATTTTATTTTACCACTTGAATTCTTTCCACTTCACTTCACATCTTCATTCTTATCGTAATCGTACTCCTAATTTTTTAAAATTTTTAGACAACACTTGACATTTTTAAAACATTTTTGATTTCAATTCACTTATGAAACAATCTTTAATAATTTTGTAATTTATCCACTTCAATTCTACCCCTTATAACATTTTAATTATCGTTATTCTTATCACATATATGCATATTGATTGAGCAATTAATAAGTGCCAATTAATAACCTTTTCTGTAATATAAATACGACTGTACAGCTTGAAAATGACGTCGTTGAAAAGAAATTTCTTCGCTGAACAAAAACTGTTTTTACATATTAGAGACAGTAAACAGAGGTGTGAGACAAAGGAATAGTAATAACGAAGAACAAAACAGTTTCATTGGAAATCATAAGTCACAAGGAGTGGATGCATCTGTGCCTGCCATTGACAACGATTTTGAGCCATATCACCAATTGTTTCCAACCATTGGGTTTTACTGTATCGAGGACCCTAACCAGGAAGGAAGTCTACACCTTCCTACGTGGCTGGCTTAAGCTAACCATAGTAGATTTCATTGACTGGTGCCATGTTTTGGTTTGACCACCGCTAGCTCTTTTCCAGCCTGACCCTATATCAGCTAACATTGCCCGACGAGGAGGGCGATGACTAGGCATACTTAACACATGTCGTAACCATCTCAGTCGACGTAATTTCACAGCCTCGTCTATTGATTTCCCCTCTTTACCTAGCACTGGGTATTACCAACAACCCTTACACAAGGGTTGTTGGTAATACCAAGATTGATTTGGGTGGAGCAGGATTTAAAGCCGAAGGCCTAATTTCAAATATTCCAAAAACCAATGAACTACACCTCCATGTAGAGAGTCTTTTGATAGTTGGGAATGATTACACCTTTTTTCTGAATTCCAGCATACTCTGTAAATATTAATTTGCCTAACAACAGACCTCAATTCAATAAGGAACTGATAACTTGAAATGCCACAATCATATGAAGATATACTGTACATGAAAGCAACATTAAACAGTATAAGGCGAACTGAGATGGAAATAGTGGAACTTCGGAAAACTGTTTACCACCTATCACTTATTAACTATGAGATAAATAGAAATAGATTAACAGGAAAAATTAAAACTTACATTATTTGAAATAAACACAGTAACCAATGACTTATTCTGTGAATTAAACGCTACATTCAAAGTAGTCACTTGGCATAGAAGACAAAAACAATGACCGACTGTAACAAGGAAAAAAAAAATAACAGAAGATGCAGCACCTCTGTCAGCTGTTAGCCGAGAAATAAACAATAACATACAAGCAGATTTCTTTTTATTCCTTTACGTTCCCAGTGGAACACTGAACTTCAAGCTAGAGCTTTGAAGTTTCGCTAACAGTGGTGTTTATTCCTACGAGATGAGGTTGCTAGCCTCATGCCCAATCTTCCCTCTTTACCAGTCTTATTACTTACTGGCTTAGCGAGGTAAACGAGTGCGTCGGTGGCCGGGGATCGAACCCCGAACAAACTGATTGGTAGGGGAGCATTCTACCGCTGTGCCACCGATGCACAATACAAACTGATACTGGAATAGATCGTGCGAACGACTTTAATGGGGCGAGAAGACAGGAATACGTTGCCCAATGAAAAGACTCTAGAAGGTCTGGATTTCGCACATGGATGATTCATGTTTAATGTCACACAAACCCAAAGACTTACAGGTGAGAACCAGCAAGTCGTCAGAAGAGATGAGCAGGACTTAAAGTGAATACAAAGAAGATAGAGGTGATGGAGATAACCACCAACCACCACCGACAGCCCCAATCACCATCAACGGGAGTGATTTGACAGAGATTAATTCCTTCACTTTTCTAGGAAGCACAGTTTCAACCAAAGGCAGTCGGAACGGATGAAGATGTAGAAACCAGCCAGCCAGAATCAGGAAGGCAACATACACCTTCGCCAACCTGAAAGCAGTTTGGGAATCTTCTGCAATCACTCAGCCAGCTTAAAGAAGAAGGTTCGGATTCTTATCACAAATGTGAAGTCAGTCAGTTTTTCTATACGGGTCAGAAACTTGCACTGCGTGTCAGTCACGAAAAGTATTTCCAACAAGTTGAAAACTTTTATCAACAACTGTCTTCGCTGGCTTCATACTGAAGATCAAATGGCCAGCTGGCCAGAAGGAATTAGTAAAAATAAACCCTGGCTGGGAACAAACCAACCATGAGCCAATCGCTCAACAAATATGTAGTAGAAAATTGAGATGGATAGGGCATACATTGAAGAGACCGAGGGATGACACCGCGCGCCAGGCCCTCGAGTGGAATGCGAATGGAAAGCGACGAGCGGGTTATTCTAGGGTGACATGGAGGAGGTCGTGTGGTGAGGAGGAGATGAGAGATTATGGTCAATCACTGACCTAGCTGAAGAGGACAGGAGAAGATAGAGCAAAGCGGAGATGTGTTGTTGAAGCCCTATGTTCCACTCGGAACCCAAAGGAAAAATAATAATAATAACAGACACTAATGTAGTAATTACCTAAACATAATTAGATACAAAGATGTCAGTTGTACTAGTTAAAATATTAATAACAATAATAATAATGATATAGCAAACGATATTAAGAAAGTCAACAGACAGAAAATGGATATTTTAATATGTCAACACTCAGAAACAGAACACACCCCAACAAATATTTACATTTCAGATCACCACATCCCATCAATACACGGGTATCAGTTGTCTCCAGCCTCATTAGACAAGCACACTTTTCAATAACAGATGAAAAGGGAAGCGACAAGATAACATCAAATATTACAGAAATTCTCAAGGAAAACAACTATTTTCAAAAATTGGTTTGTAGGGATTTGATTTTTTTTTCAAGTTTGATCACGGGATTGATGTGAGTTAGTGAACCACTGAAAATCAGAGAGAGTACTGGACAGTTCTTTCATCCTAGTTTGGGGGTCATTAGCAGCACGCACCTATCGATGATGGTGGTCACAATAGAATCACGAATTGGTAGAAGGTAGAATTCATGGGTTGGTCACTGAGTCGGGTCCCAGTGACTGAATTGTCTACGAGCTTGCCTTGTAACCTGAAGGTCTTGGGTTCGAACCCTGGCAGTGGATACGATGAGTACTGCCAATGAGTCCCAAACTGGAACGAAACAGCTATCCATTACTCCTTGATCTTTAATGGTCCTCTAACTCATATCAATCCATGATCAAACTTAAAAAAAATAACTATTCAAAGGATTTCACTAACAAAATCAACACCAACATAAAACGTGGCTGTAAACCTCCTCCGAAAACACGGATAACCACAAGTTCTTACTCCACACAGGTGATACACATCAGACGATATTACAAGACCATTGAAAAACTGCCACATCAGAGTTTTCTTCAAAGCATTAGACATATTGGAAAACAACCCTGTCCATGTAAAAGATCGAATTCCAAAGGATTCACAATCTCATTGTGTCTATAAAATAAAGTGCTCAGAATGTGATGCAATATTCGTCATATAAACCTAGCGAGGAATCTAAATCAGAAGAACTAGACACCGTAGACCATTTATTCAAACGACCACCGAGAAATCTGGTTGAACTAGAAAAGCTTCAAAAATCGTCAACTACAGGTTTACACGCTATGGAATCAGGACACAAAACTGACTTTGACAATATTGAAATCATCCAGAAAAATTTCAGAAATCACAAATAAACATCTCATACCAGAAATAATTTATATTAAATGGATTCCAAATTGTCTGAACAGGAATGATGGACTAGGAGAGAGAATCCGACCTGGTCCCAATACACACATACACACATTACACAACCATGAAGTGATGAAATTAATTGAAATGTGACAAGCAAATTCATTATGTAAAAAAATGCTGGTTTTGTAATTTTATACACTTATCAAATCCAACAATCTGCACATGATTTGTTTCCTTTATCAATTCATCCACTTAACAACGTAAAAATTACATCATGTTGGAGTAATGATGATTAAGTTGGTGTATTTAAGCTGGGAATTTCTAAATTCTGGTTTAATAAATAGTACTTCGATAAAGCTATTAGCATTAAGTAGTGAAACATCAGTAAAAACAATATTGTTTAATTTTTCATTCATTGAGAAATACAAAGTCTCTTATTACAATGAATAGCATATACCTAATGCACACATTTTTTTGGTCAAACTATTATTAGACGTGAACTTGGTTCGGAAACATAAGTAGTTGATGAAAGGGAAAAACGTTATTTGTAGGAATATTGTACACATGATGCAGACGATAATTATTTATTTATCCCATCCCCAACACCCCAACCAGGAAGACTACACCTACCTACATGGCTTAAATTACCTGTTGTGGATTTCATTGACTGATGAAGCCATGTTCCCGTTTGACACCTCTCTTCCCACTTAATCCTGTGTCAGTTAACATTCCTCACCAACGAAGGCGGTGGCTAGGAATGTGTAACACATGCCCTAACCATCTCAATCGGTGTAACTTCACAACCTCGTCAATTGATTTCCCCTCCTTTCCTAATACTGAACGCCTAATGTCAGTATTATTCACCCCCATCTTGCCCGCTAACACGGGAGATACAACGCAGAAACCTATGATCAAAGACAGCTAACTAGTCTTTTCATGCATTCTGCTTTCAATAGGCGTGTCTCACAGCCGTAAAGGAGGACAGAGAGAACTGCTGAACAGTATACACGCCCTTTGGTCGACAGCCATATATCACGTCTACGACAGAGATAGCATACGTTGGCAAATGCTACGCCAGCCTTTTTTCAATTATAGCTTGATTCCACACCGTAATTTTTGTACAAGTATGAAATTTTCAGCATGGATATCGGTAGCCCAAATTTTGCAGGCCGACCATAGATATCGGGTGTGCGTCGGCAAGGGATCGAACCCCGGACCATGTGTATGGTCGGCGAGAGTCCTAACCACTGAGAAGATGACACCAAGATAAGTGAAGGAAGTGACTTTTTTTCAAATTACTTCCATTGATCAATGCTTTTTGTTGTTTGGTTGGTTATCTTCATCACCTCCGCCTTCTCTCTATGTTCTCTTTAAAGTGCATGTATGTATTCATTAGTCTGACACACATAGTGTATAATCAATACAAAGCTCACATGACTGTGATCATACCTCTTTATAAGTGAAATAAAGTAAGATCCTATGACCCACTCACACATTTAATAGTTAACTACTTACAAAAATATGCTGCAGCTAAGTGAATATATGAAGAAACATTATGTGAAAAAAATGGTATAATAGAAAAAACTTACTTAAACATAAAAAAGCAAAACAATACTGCAGAACAACATCCCGAAAGTATACCAAACCGCTTTCCGTTGAATCACTCGATGACACCATATCGGATCGTGGTTTACTGACTGTATACAAAAGATCATCTAGAGCATCTTGACAGACAGCAGACAATAACCGATCAGCAACCTGGAACACAAAGAAATTTCATATATATATATATATATATATATATAAGCCGACCACTTTACTCCCTTTCTTAATGCTAGGAATCAGTGTAGTCCAATGTTAACGCATCATCTTACGTTTGGCAAGAGCGAATGGTATGCCAAACATTCGAAGATTGCTGCTCAAAGTGTTCAGAGGACTGCATTTTATCAGCGTCTTCATCTAGGAGGACTATATCATCCGCCTTACTCGAAGTCCACAAGACTATAACCCTGTAAAACAAATCAAACCCTAAGTAGCTGAAGTCAGTTAGGGTCAGTTCCATTAGTACACCTATGATGGAGTTAGACAAAAATGAAGACAATGGGCATCCCAGACAGACCACCACTGATTATCATCATCACCTCAGATGACAATTCTCTACAGACTCTTACAAAGGTTGAGTGAATTCGAGTGGAGTGAGTGCCTTGATTACTGCGATATACTTTTCCGCTAATCCCGCCACGGTTAAGACAAGGTTATAGCGCAAAAGTATGTGACGACTGGCTATCCACTGGCTACTCTCTTAAAACACAAAATAATTGAGCAAAGAATATCCTTTTCGATAATTTCCTCTTCTGGCTCTACAATTATATATATATATATATATATATATATATAGTTTATATACATAGAATATTCTAGAATAGATAGTAGTCAGTAACAATATTAGTGTTTTTTAGATAATATCGATTTATAAAGTAAGATCAATGGAATTACCACAGTTCATTAAAGATGCATAAATTATAACAGAAATAATAAAGATATAGTAGTAAATAGAATATCAAGTAAAATTAGGAAAATTCCACAAAAATTGACGATCATTCAAACCTAGATGGCCAAGGTAAGGATAATGTCTGAACTAACTTCTTTTGGATGCATAAATTAGGCTTTTTAATCTGGATCCCAACAGCCTCAGCAATATTTAGTAATCGAACTCTTAAGGCGAAATTAAGATTTGTTGGTATGCGGTAAATTTAAGCATTTTAATGAACTGTAATTCCATTGTATCATACCTTACAAATCGATATTATTTAAAAAACCCTAATATTGTTATTCACTACTAATCTAGAATATTCTATGTATATAAACATATATATAATTGTAGAGCCAGAAGAGGGAATTATCGAAAAGGATATTCTTTGCTCAATTATTTGTCTTTTATAGATGTCTGATTATTATTATTATTGTTTCCTTTAATTCCTAGAGGAACATAGGGCTTCAGCCGTGCGTCTCCATTGCGTTCGGTTCTCTGCTAGAGTCTTCACCTGGCTCCAAGTCACTCTTGCACTGACGACCAACTCGCCGCTTCCCTTTCGGGTTCCACTCGAGCAATGGCTTGTCTAGTGATGTCACTTGATGGTTTCCTCAGAGTATGGCCAGCCAATCCATTTCCATTTCTTCCTGCCTATTTGTTTCACAATCGGTTCCTGGTTGGTTCGCTCCCAGAGATCTCTGTTGCTGATCTTTTCTGGCCATCTGATCTTGAGTATTGAGCGAAGACAACTGTTAACGAAGGTCTGTAGTTTGTTTGAGATGCTCTTTATGACGCGCAGTGCAAGTCTCTGATCCATCGTATAGTAGCACTGACTTCAAATTGGAGTTGAAAATCCGGATCTTATTTTTGATGCTGAGTGCTGTTGACCTCCACACAGACTTGAGAGTAGTGAAAGCTTGTCTTGCTTGATATCCGTCAGTTCCGCCTGTAGTTGAAACGATGCTTCCCAGGTAGGTTAAGGAGGTTGTTTCTTTCAGGTTCCTCCCATTTATGCTGATTGTTGTCTGTTGTTGTTGGCCAGGAATCTTCATCACTTCTGTTTTCTCTATGTTCACCTGAAGATGTTTGAATGAATGCTCTCTTAAACACGAATGAAACCTAAAATCCGTAATTAACAACGTACAGAAAAGTTCACCGGTTTAATATGTGAAATTCAGACATATTAATGACGAGAAAAATACTTCAGTGACTCTACGATCCCTATCAAATTAATTTGTATGTAATACAAAATAAATCAAAAATTATTTCTACATGTATATATACATACATATATAACTTACCTCCAATAAATTGAAAAAGATATAAATTTTGATAACTGACTGTGTCCGAATCTCATGATAGGCTACAGAACTGTCATATTTAGTCAAAATAACAGTACATATGCACAATAAAGAAAATTTAACCAGATCACGAAGTTCATAATTGTACAGTAGATTTACTCGTGAAGATTTTGAACAGACTGGATCACTATAAAAAAAAAAATAGGAAAACACTGATAATCTTAACTTTCTTTTAAAAGATACAATAAAAATCACTCGTTAGAAGAAATAAGACACATCACACATTGAAATATTACACTTAAAATCTTCACAACCTGCAACCACACCTTAATTATTTAATCATTTGGAAGACTAACAACGCAATACAATGAATCGGTAAGCTTGATAGTGAAACCATAACATAAAATAAAGGTGGAGTTTTACCCACGTCACTTGTGATTACTGCCAATGCTGTCGACACCGGAGCCGAGGAGTAGATTGTGCATCGGTTGTGATGCGAGCTGACCTAGTGATTGATACAATCCAAGATCAATTCTCTCTGAAACGTCTTTTACGAATCGGAACAACCCATGGGCTTTCCCGTCGTGAGTCACAGGACGGGAAAATCTAACCAGGGCCTCTCGTGCACTGGAGATAACCCATCCTGCCACATGGAAACCAGATCCCGACCGCCAATCCACTTCTCACAGCATGAACACCGTCTCTGACTTGGTTGTAATGCCGAATGCCCTTCCAGAAATCCATGGTGGGGTTACCGCACCATCCACTGCTACTCGCTAACCGTGAGTCACAAAGTTAACTGGTCGCTGCCCTCTCACCCAAACTTCCAGTGATCCACGTCGCCCGGAGCCCACTACTCCACATTAAGCTCAAAGGGCTTTCCCGCACCGTCCATTTGAGCTGAGCAGCCAGATGAGAATGTTTTTCATGCTTGCGGCAGCGCCTAGCTTGGGCCCAGTATACTGAACCCTCCCCAGCAGGCGCCACGAGGAGGTTGAATGGAGTATGAATCTGTTTTGATCACCTCCAACCATGAGAAAGTAGTTTCTAGAGCTGCTCTACTGCCCTATTAATCAGACTTCAAGTCAAGGGCTCGGATGGTAGCTCTTTTCGATGTGGGTGTCCGGGCAGTGAGTATCCCAGCCCTTGCACAAACAATGAGACTTTTTGTGTGGTAAATTTCTTGGTGCCCATTACGTACCAACTCTGTGATTTCATAATAAGTGAATAATGATTCTAGTGTTCTATTTATCTACGAAAATCACACCATTTACCACAAGAATAGATAACAGGATGAGTCAAGACAGGTTATATTACTTGTAAAAGAGCAAGTGGATAAGACTACTATCCAAACCCAATAAATACGGTCTTTGGATTCGAATGTATGACCCACTATTGGTTGCTTTTTGTGAACAATACACATTTGAAATGTTTGTTGGTATACACAAACCTAGTAATCATTATCATCTACTTCTCGACTAACTGCAATTCACATTATTACATTTCTTTTTATTTAAAAACTTCGAGTTTGGCCACGAACTGACTTCATTTAGAGAACCCTATTCTTGACTTAGCATATGCGAGTGATATATAGTCCTCCTAGGTGAAGATGTTTGCGAAATTCAGAGTCTTCTGAACCCCCTGACCAGAAATCTTCGAATATCTGCATGCGATTGGTTCTTGTCAAATATAAGATGATGATGATTCAAGACTGGACTACATCGACAACTACCTTGAAAACAGGGAGTAGTGAAGTGGTAAAGTGTGTTGACCACTTTTACTGCCTGATTGGGTCCTTGGGATACTAAGAACCAATGGCTGGAGATAATTGGTGATGTGGCTCAAAACCGTTCTCACTGAACTCAGATGCATTCACCCCTTGTAATCTTCGATATCCATTACACTCTCTTGCTTTTTCCCTGTTACTATTTCTTCCCGCACATTTCTGCTTATTATTGTTATTATTCTTTTGAATCCCGTTTTCCTCTCTTTTGTCTTCCTTTGTGTCTGTCTTTCTGTCTGGATTCAACATAGAACTTGGCACCGAAGTGCAGCACTTCGAGTTGCCACGTTCTAAATAGCACACAAACGTAGACAAGAAAATGAGTGAAGAGAATCAATAGAGTTTTGACAAGTATAAGAGTGAAACAGAATGAGTAATGGTAGAAAGGAATATGAAAGATTACAGAGACTGAATACATCTGCGTAAGCCATTGACAACGATTTTGAGCCATGTCACCTATTGTCTCCAGCCATTGATTCTTAGAGTCCCGAGGGCCTCAACCCGGAAGTCTGCATCTCCCTACCTGACTCAGTTTAACTGTCAAGGATTTCATGGATTGATGCCATGTTTTTGTTTGGCCACCACTTACTCTTTTCCAACCTGCACCTATATCAGCTAGTAATGCCCGTCGGGGGAGGCAATGGTTAGGCATGCGCAGCACGTGACCTAGCCATCTCAATCTATGTAACTTTATAGCCTCTTCGATTGATTTTCCCTCTTTGCCCAACACCCTACGCCTAACGTCAACATTACTTACCTTATTATGCCACCTAACGTGAGAAAGAGATCGTAGACATCTATGATCAAAAACAGTCAACCTTTTCATGTCTTCAACTCGTATTGGCCATGTTTCAGAGCCATAGAGGACGGAGCGAACTTCTGAGCAGTACACACGTCCCTTGGTTGATAGCCGGATTGTCACGCCTACGCCAGAGACGGTGTAAGTTAGCGAAGGCAGCTCGAGCTTTTTGTATCCGTGCTGAGATTTCGTCGCCAATCAGTCCGTTGGTGCTGATACAACTTCTTAAATAGGTGAAGTGGTCAACATGTTCTATCACTTCACTCCCTATCACTATGCTACACATGAAGCATGACAACTTGAACTGTTATACTTCTGTGCAAAGTTCTATGTTGAAACCAGTCGGCAGTCAATCAGTGAATTAGAGAACCACTGAAAACTAGGAAGTACTGGACACTAATAATTATCAAATTTCGATAAAGAAAGGAAGACGAAATTTGCAGTATAAAATGATACCGTCATTCTATTTCACAGGTTCTCATCAGCTGCAGACTACTTGAAATTACAATGGTTATGTAGATGATAATAACATACTTTAATGTTTGAGTGGTAGTAGAGAAGAGATACTATAAAAGTGACGCATCCAAAATGAAAGCATTACAATTTTTAGTTTAAGTTTTCATCATCAATTTATACGCTTTCAAAGTTGAAAAGAGGGGGGAAGGGGTAAGACAGAAAACAGAAAAATTAATCAACAGAACAGTGTTAGCTTGTAGGTTCACATAGCAACTCAAAAAACAAAAGCGGTTACAGTTTATGAGATTAAGATTTGTTCAGTGAGTTGAGATCACTGAATTAGATGACTAATTAATGTAATCAAAATCAAAATTCAGTTACCAAGGGAGTGAGAGATTAATCACACTCTCTTTCTGTATGCATAAGTCTGGTTTAAATCGTTTGATTGCTATCGCTTCGGCAAATCGTAGTAAATTTGCTGTCCTTTGTCTATTTAATATTTTGAAGGACTTAGAAATCTCTACGAGATGTCCGGTATCAACAATATGTCTGGTAATTGCACTCTGAGAATATTTGCTTCCTTTCAGGCACAGGTTTCTTGGAATATGTTCAGAAAACCGGATAGAAGCCCTTCTTTCCGTCCTTCCAATGTACTTGCTCCCGCAAGTGCGCGTAAATTCATAAACGCAGTTGGAGGTGACATCAGCAGGGTATTTATCCAGTTTTGAATGGCTTATATAAGTGGTGCTGTATAATGTTATGAGTTTTGCTGCCGGGAAGCTTTTGGATGCGTCACTTTTATAGTATCTCTTCTCTACTACCACTCAAACATTAAAGTATGTTATTATCACCTATATAACCATTGTAATTTCAGGTAGTGGTGTGCAGCTGATGAGAACCTGTGAAATAGAATGACGGTATCATTTTATACTGCAAATTTCGTCTTCCTTTCTTTATCGAAATTTACCAAGGGAACCAAATGTATGAAATTATCAAATTGGCAGAACACCTTCACTAACATTGAAAAAAATTCCACTAATTGATTTTTTTGTGAATCAAAATCTTTCATAACCAATGAAAACAAGATGGATATATATATTTACATCACACAAGCGCGCTATAATACGGTGGCACTAACTCAGCATTCCTTGCATTATAATTAACACAAAGATCACACACTGCACATGTATAGATTTACTACTCTCATTTGATGGATTCATTTGTTTCTATCTTTATGTTCTACGTGGGATGATGGCTGGCAACACAATAGAATGCATCTTCTAAGCATTGAAATGACATCTCACAGTATTATAAGGTAATAAAGAGAGAAAAAAGTCAAAACAGAACATGACATGTGATCCTTAACAACACAAAAAACACAAAGCTAGAAATATTTAATGTTAACTGTGTTTCTCGTCATCAATAAAGTATGAAATCGTGTCTTATTAACAAATCTTGTCTAGTATAGCGAAAATGCTCATTCAGACATTTAGAAAATGACAAAAAAATATATTGGGCAAAGAATATTCTTTTCGATAATTTCCTCTTCTGGTTCTACAATTATACATTTGCGTTTATATACGTGGAATATTCTAGAATAGTCGTCATTAACAATATTGGTGTTTTTTTTCAAATACTATCGATTTGTTAAGTAAGATCAATGGAATTACAGTTCACTGAAGATGCATAGATTATTATAAGCATAAAAAATTGAATAGGAAATAGAATATCAAATAAAATTAAGGAAACCTTGATGGCCAAGAGAGGTAAGGACAGTGTCTGAATAAATATCTTCTTTTGGATACATAAGTTAGGCTTCTTAATGTGAATCCCAACAGCCAGCCAGCTTCAGCAAATATGTAGTAGACGAACTCTTAAGGTAAAGTTAAGATTAGTTGGTATGCACGGTAGATGACTCTGAAAGCTGCCTTGTTAACATTGTTAACATCAATCTTGTGTTGTGCATCCACAAGATGAGATTGAATACAGCTCGTTCCATACAATGGTCGTCTTACTCTCTACATTATCTGAAGAATCACTAGGAGGGAAATACAATGATTGGATTAACTGGTTTCAACCCAGAACTTTGCACAGAAGTGCAGCGTTCATCCTGTCACACTCCATGTAGAGCATACAAAGAAAGGCAAAAGAGAGGAAAGAAAGAACAATAACATGGAAAAACATGAACATTTAGTGGATATGTCAGATCACGAAGAGGGAATGCGTCTAAGCCAGTGATTGACAGTGATTTCAAGCCATATCACCGATTGTCTCCAACCATCTGTTGTATATAATCCCAAGGACCCAATACACCATGAAGCTCTTTACCTCACTAAGTGTTTCAAACTGTAAAATATTGTATATGAACTGACTCCGAGTTTCGGTTTAACCATCACTAGCTCTTTTCCAACCTGTATCCATGTGTCAGTTAACAGTGTCCATTGACGAAGGTGATGGTCAGGTATTGTTGGGAAATATAACAGGCGCATTAGCACAGAAAACAGCATTAAAAAAATAGTTTAATGCAGAGGCAAACTTACTGTTCTTGTTCAAAATTTGTAAAAAATTGAAAAAATCGACTGGATATCCTCATGAATAAATGTATAACGGTTAGAAAACAACGTAATGGAAGAAATGTGTACACGATCAATAAATGGTCCAAACATTGCAATAATCCGTAGAGCATAAACTACAGTTGGGATTTTTAAAAAAGAGGCAACCATTTCATACAAAATGAAACTTATTAACAATAAAAAATGACTAGGTCATATAATAAAACAAACTCCAAAGACCGAATTTAGATTATGCGTTTTATTGGGAGTCTTGAGCAGTGCGCCAGCATGATCCCTCAAAGTATCGGAACCCAGGATCCTGAAGTTGCGAGGTCAGCTTCGCTGACCATTCACACAATTTGACAGGAATTTGATGAGACGTGAATCCCGACTCTGTTAATTCGTGATATAGTGCTACCGTCACAACCGATGCCAGTAATAAGCATCCACCTCATCACCGTGAAACGGTGGACCTCACACACTAGCCATTAGTTCTCTCATTAGAACTTAAGGACATCAATTTTGTAGGGGATTCAGATTAATTTGAATATAGAGCTATATCACGCATTGACAGAAATTAGAATTCATGGGGTCATTGAATTCCAGTCCAAGTAGTAGTGACTGAATGGTCAACGAGTTGAAGGTCTCGAGGTCGACGCCTGATGGAGGTTACGGGTGTGCATTGCTGAAGAGTCGCAAAACTAGGAAGGAACAACCATCTAGTGCTTCCTAGATTTTAATGATTCCCTAGATGTGATGTTGACCCGTGATGAAATCTGAATTGAAAATGACCTAATTGCCATCTAATACTTCCATTTAGCCAGCAGGATAATAAGAGGGGTAAATAAATAATGATAATAATTTTTTGCTTTATTCCAGCGGTACAATGTGGAATTTTCAGCACATATAGGAAAATGGATGATTGGCAAGAAAATGAGCTGTAATTAATACGCTAAAAACACACTGTATCTTTCGAAAATTATCTTTCAGTTCTACGCTAAGCATCTTTGCGGATACTTTGAACCACAGAGCATACACTCTGAATCAAAATGAATGAGCTGTACCTCAGTAACGACGTACACATCCGTGAAAATGACTGCTAGTTACACCTACTTACTATGTGAGGACTGGTGATACCACCTCCTGGTTGCTCATTAAGCAGAAATTAGTTAAAACTTTTAACCGAAAATAAAGAAATCGAATGCCTAGACTTGTGAATCACATGTTCTTAAAAGTGTATGAAATATCCAAAACTAATAAAGAAGTTTCCACCGACAATAGGACAGGATTAGGTACAGGTCTTAAGATATCCACCAAATAGTTCAGGCTGCTAGACCTCATATTTATTTTGATTATACACTAGTTAGTAACTAGTGTAATGTGTCTAGTCCTTTGTTTGGTACAGACTGAATTCTATCAGTCAAGTTTGCAAGGTGGCTCACTGCCACGGTGCGCTGTAAATTGTTGATATTAGATTCTTGGAGGCAGTCATCAGGAAGCCTCAGACCTAGGTTTCATGCTAGTTGGCACCCGTATCAGCAAGGAACTCACGTCCCTTCTGAGATTCAAACCCGCGTCACTCAATGTTGCAATCACAGACGTTACCATTGAATACTTTGATTGGACATTAGTTACTAACTAGTGTTCAATGCACTTCCACAGGAGGTCAGTAGCAAGCCCAAATAGCTCAGTATCCTTGCCAAAAACCTAGGTCCAAGACTTCCTGACGATTCCCTCTAACCACCTAGTGTGAACGTCATATTTGCATAGGTTCAATAAGTGTTATAAAAAGGAAGAGAACGATTTGAACATCCGTTAAGTCTGTGGTAAACATGAGTTATAAAAGAAACTAAAATCTATGAAAAGACTGATAAAATCCATATATTTATTCGACGTTTAACCATAACTTGGACAAAAGTGATTCTCAGGGAAACTTAACGATAAGTTATATGCTACAATATAAAGATACTTTCAACACAATTAAAATTCTTAAAAGGTGTGTGTTGAATTACGAAAACTCTTAAACAATTTAAGTTTGGCAAAACTACCAAAAGAATCTATTCTTCTGACTGCAACCTTCAGTAACTGTAATGCCATCAGGTGCACAGGAAAAGGTGAATTTTCTTATCCACTAGATAAGTCCTAAGACATAACTAATACCTTCACCATACAGTTCACCTGATTCATTGCTTAATCGTTACCAGTAACCTTCTCGAATACATCACATCACATCAATTATACTGGAAGGATGAAGTTGCAGTCGATGGGATCGGACATCTGACAATTAGTCAATTACCGTTTCAAACTCGTATGTTTAAATATTGGATTCACCAAAGAGCCATACAACTAAAACTAGACAACTAAATGTCCGGCGCTTCCTGGATTTCAATAATTTTCAAGGGCGACACTAGAGCGTGAAGAAATCTGCATCGGAGTTCAGATATGGTAATCGAAATTATGGCAAACAGACAATACCATTATCCACTAAAGTCTATGCAACTCATACTGACTGACTGGTTTTTGCACAGATGTGCAGCAGTTCCATTCGTCACACTCCATTTTGCATAAAACACAAGAGAATAGAGTAAAGAGAGATAATAAACAGAAGTGTGAGTGAGGGAAAAAGAATAGTAATATGGAAGAAAAAGTTTTATTCGATTTGGTAAATCACAAAGAATGAATGCAACTGAGCCAGTGAGAACGATTTTGAGTCATATCACCAATCATCTCCAGCCATTGGTTCTTAGAATCCCAAGGACACAACCAGGAAGTGGCTGAAACTAACTGTCAAAAATATCATGGACGACGACTGATTCTGAGTTTTGGTTTGACCACCTCCTCTAACTAGTCTACACCCTAACCTTATGTCAGTTAACATCCCCGTCGAGGAAGGCGATGTTTAGCCGTATGCAACACATGTTCCAGCTATCTGTGTCAACGTAGCTGCACAACCTTGTCGACTGACTCTCCGTCCTCCTTTATGGATGTGAGACCTAGTCATTGAGAGTGGAGGACATGAAAAGATTAGCTGTCTTTGATCATAGGTGCCTGCGCTCTATATCCCGTGTGAAGTGGTATTGTAAGGTGAGCAATATTGAGGTTAGGCATCGAGTGCTAGGTAAGGAGGGGAAATCAGTCGACGAAACTGTAAAATTACATCGACTGAGATGGTTAGGACATGTGTTACGTATGCCTACCCTAGTCATCGCCTTCCTCGACCAACGGGCAATGTTACCTGATATAGGGTCAGGCTGGAAAAGAGCTACCGGCGGTCAAACGAAAACATGGCATCAGTCAATGAAATCTACAACAGTTAGTCTAAGCCACGTAGGAAGGTGTAGACTTCCTGGTTGAGGTCCTCGGGACGGTAAAAACCAATGAAGGCTGGAAACAATTGGTGACATGGCTCAAAATCGTTCTCAATGGCTAGCGCAGATGCATCCACTCCTTGTGACTTATGATTTCAAATGAAACTATATTGTTCCTCATTATTACTATTCCTTTGTTTCACACCTCTGTTTACTGTCTATATTATGCATTTCCTCTACTTTCTTCTCTTCCTTTGTGTGCTGAGTGAAGTATGGCAACTTGAACTGCCGCACATATGTGCAAAGTTCTATGTCGAAAACAGACAGACTGACTGACTCACTCACTCTCCTTACCGAGTACTTGATGCCTAACCTCAAAATTACTCACCCTATTCTACCACCTAACACGGTAGATAGAGCGCAGATACCTATGATCAAAAACAGCTAGCCTTTTTTATTATCTTTCACTTTCAAAACAGCCATGTCTCACAGTTATAAAAGAGGACAGAGTGAACTTCTGCCTAGCAAACAAATCCTTTGATCGATAGCCAGGTAGGTGTATATCAATTCTACGACGAAGATGACATAAGTTGGTGGATGCCACACGAGCCCTTGTATCCATGTTGGGATTTTCGTCAGCGATCAGCTCACTAGGCCTATTGCAACTTACCAAATAAGTAAAGTGATCAAATACACTCTATCACTTCACTCCCTATTTTCAAGTTAACTGTTGATGTATTCAAGTCTTGAATCATCATCTTAGGATTTGACAAGAAACATACGTATGCTAAACATTCAAAGATTTCTGATCAAGGTGTCAATCAATTCAGAAGACTCTGATTTTTATCAGCGTCTTCACCTAGCAAGTTCCCATATTCCATACAGTACACAAAGGAATAGAAAATAGAGAAAAGAAAGAGATTCGAAAGAACGATAATATGAGGGAGAAAGAATAGTAACTTGGGAGAAAAACATGAAGGTTAAATGGATGTCAAAACACAAAGACTGGCTTTGTCTGCGTCATTGAGAATAATTTTGAGCTATAATACCAATTAACTGTCTACAGTCATTGGTTCTTAGAATCCCGAGGATGTCAACGAGGCAGCAACCTACACCTACCTCTCCACGTGGCTGGCACAAACTAACTGTGAAAGATTTCATGGACTGATTCCATGTTTTGGTTTGAACACCCACCCACCCCCTGACTCTTTTCCGACCTCATGGTATGCCAGTTAACATTGTTCATCGAGGAAGCAGGTGGCTTAGCATGCGCAAAATGTATTCAAGCCATTTTGCCAATATTAAGGTGCCACATAGATATAAAACATAAAATACATTACAATAGCGTTACAAAAATGTACAATATATGAAACGTCCACCGCGGGAAATTGGATGAAATTGAAAGTTTTTCCGGACAAAACTTCCTTCTAAGAACAATATAATGTGATAAAACGATTGAAAAATTACTTCAAAAAAAATTAGCGGAAATTTCAAAATGCAAATTACCGATTCCAAGTATTGAGGCACTGTGATAAATGTATACGCTCGATTAGTGAAAGGACCTTGTTTATTTGTACCATCTTCATCTTGCTTTTTTCTGATCGACTGAACAACCTCCTCTTTTAAATAATACGTGAATCTGAAATCTTGAGTTAAAAAAAACAAAATGAAAAATAAGGCGCGATTAGTTATTATTATTATTAGCTGGGCATTGTGTGTAATAGAGTGCATAATTCCATATTAGATTAGTTTATTTCATACAGCTCAGAGTGATACCAACAGCACTAACTAGATGACGTTATACGATCACAATACCATTTGGCTTATGAAATCGAAGGAAAATGAAATCCTACTCAACAACCTGCTGCGTTTGCATGCTTGGCTGTAAAGGGAATGCCGAGAAAATACATTGCACTGATTAAGGCACTCTACTCGTACTCATACAACCAGGTTGGGGCTTACGGCGAGTTGTCATCTGAAGTAGTGACGACTAGTGGTGTCCGTCAAGGATGCCCATTATCCCCATTTCTATTCAACTTCATCATAGATGTACTAATGGACTTAACCCTAACTCGCTTCAGCGACTCAGGGATTGACTTGCAACCAGGGAAGAAACTCGTTGACTTAGAATAGGCAGACGATATAGTCCTTCTAGGCGAGGACACTGACAAAATGCAGAGTCTTCTGAGCTGCAATCTTCGAATGTTTGGCATGAGATTCGCTCCCGCCAAATGTAAGATGATGTTACAGGACAGAACTACACCGAATCCTAGTTCAGAAATAGGGAGTGAAGTGGTAGAGCACGTTGACCGCTTCACTTATTTGGGAAGTACCATCAGCTAGCCACAACGGGTTGATCTCTGACGAAATCTCAGGACGAATACAGAGGGCCAGTTTCGCATATGCCAGTTTACGCCGTCTCTGGCGTAGACGTGATATCCGACTATCGACCAAAGGGCGTGTGTACTGCTCATCAGCCCGCTCCGTCCTCCTTTATGGTTGTGAGACCTGGCCATTGAGAGCGGAAGACATGAAAAGACTAGCTGTCTTCGATCATAGGTGTCTGCGTTCTATCTCCCGTGTGAAGTGGTATAATAAGGTGAGCAATATGGAGGTTAGGCCTCAGACGAGTGCCAGGTAAGGAAAGGATATCAACAGACGACGCTGTGAAATTACATCGACTGAGATGGTTGGGACATGTGTTAAGTATGCCTAGTCATCGCCTTCCTCGACGGGCAATGTTAGCTGATATATGGTCAGGCTGGAAAAGAGCTAGCTAGCGGCGGTCAAACCAAAACATGGCACCAGTCAATGAAATCTACAACAGTTAGTCTAAGCCACGTAGGAAGGTGTAGACTTCCTGGTTGGGGTCCTCAGGACAGTAAAAACCAATTTTGGGAAACAATTGGTGACATGGCTCAAAATCGTTCTCAATGGGTGGCGCAGATGCATCCACTCCTTGTGACTTATGATTTCCAATGAAACTATATTGTTCTTCGTTATTACTATTCCTTTGTCTCACACCTCTGTTTACCGTCTATATTATGCATTTCTACTTTCTTCTCTTGCTTTGTGTGCTACATGGAGTGTGGCGACTTGAAATGCCGCACATATGTGCAAAGTTCTATGTCGAAAACCGACCGACCGACCGTTTGCATGCAGTTGGCAATGAACCTCACCTATTGTGTGTGGGGGTGGGAGAGAGAGAGAGCTAGTGATACTAAGTGGCTGCCTAGACTTCGGCAGATGGACAGGGCTTCGAACCCTTAACCCGGTAGTTGGAAGTTCAGCACTTGGTGCGATGAACCACAGCTCTATATATCACTTACAAAAAGGATTATGATTAATAAATTGTGGCTTAAAAATCACCACTACTTAGCACATCAAATAAACTAAATTTACTATGTATGTGAAACTGAGTACAAAGTCAATTGTACATAAATAAACGTCATACACTGAAAGCGATAATATGAGCGCCTATAACATTTTCACTAAGCTATGTAAAATACTAATGAGTGGTAAATAATTTTAGAAAGTATTGTAATACATAAAGTTAGATTACTATTATTATTATTATTAATTATTATTATTATTTAGGAATTTAACTGATAGTAAAACTATAATAACTACATGATGTACTTTTACTTTTGTGACCAATCGGATGTAATTAAATCCGTATTATCATACCATCTTCTTACTAATGATTTTGCAGAACTTACAAGCCATAACTCACTGCTAAACTACAGTAAACTTATTTTTATGAAATCAATAACTCTGCATTTTACACATACATACTTAAATGTGCCGTGTTAGCTTAAGTTAAGAAAAAGACTAAAAGAAAATGTGAATTTATTAATATTATTATTGTTCCCTTGGGTTCCGAGTGGAACATAGGGCTTCAAAAGCGCATGTGTCCAATCCATCTCCATTTTTTCGGTATAGTCCTTGAGCAATAGGGTGCTTGATTAGTTCTTTCCCAGAGTTTCTTATTGCTGATTCTCTCCAACAAGCCATTTGATCTTCAGTATAGAGTTAGCGAAGGCAAGTTTTGATAAAAATCTGCGGAAGCCTGTTGGAAATGCTTTTTGGTGATGCGTTAAGTCTCTGACCTATACCTATAGAAGAATTAACTGAGTTAATATTGGTGTTGAAATAACTAATTTCGTATTTCATACTGACTGAGTACAACAGACTTCTACAGTGATTTCAGGCTGATGAAGTTGTGCCTTGCCTTTCCGACTCTGGTTCTGACATCATCATTATCATGCATTCCGTCGCCTGTAGTTGACACGATGCTGACTAGATAAGTGAAGGAAGTCTTATTTTGAAAATATGGAAAGAACACACTCCTGAAATACTTTGGACCAGATAAGAAGCGTGAATTTACAATCGACAACGATAGGCAGAATATCTGCTTCAATACGTATCAGTGCAGATGTTTGTAGATGACAAGAAATCAAGTAAAAAATAAGTCTGTACCCTTTTAGAGACCTACTTATCTGCACTTCTGAACAAAATGACTCAAGAACTGACAATGTTCATAAACCACTGCATCGTAAATACAATGATAGGATATTTTCAATCATATGAGATACAATAACATTGATAGTGAGCATATAGGAACCAAATAGAATGGAGTTTCATAGGAAAGAGTATTCTAAACTGATGAAGTTCAACGCGCACAGTTGTAACTTACTCTTAAAAGGATCGTGGACCTCCCAATCGGAATCAGAATCGGATGGTTCTGCAGTATACCCACGAGACATCGTTTTGCGATGCTTCAGTTAAGTATCTAGTAATAAGACATGAAGAAAATAAAGGAAATAACTAACTATTATTATTATTCAAGCAGCTAGAAGTCATATTACAATAAATTTACATAATCGCAACCTCTACGTTTCAATATGCACATATCACATTATTACTCTTTCCTTTTCCAATAAATAAATCTGACTCCATAAACTACTTTAGAGCACAACTGAGCTTATAAGATTATCGAGTTGGAACCTAGTTGTCAACCATATATATTTCAGTGCAAATCAAATATCTAATAATGCAGTTATACATTAAAGCATTGCTGATATAAGAATAGAATTTGGGCGTTGTGGTGGGGTATATTTCCAGCATACATTTATTTTATATTATTATTATTATTCACCTTGATATACTTAAAAGCTCGAAACATAATCAGTGAGTAATGCTGTATGAGTGTGAATTTCCATCATACAAAATTATTTTATAGAATAGCAATGCTAATACCTTATTATTATATGGTGTTTATACATAACAAAAATTCTAACAAACTGACAAAATTCTAATGGGATTTGGGGGATATAACTTACGCATGCTGCTAGTAAATGGGACTAAACCACACAGAAATAATCTCTTACTTTACTTCGGCTATCTCCTACGGGAGGACGAGCCGGCTTCATGAACATCTCGAATCATCGCTGCCCAGGCGCGGCGATCTGATGAAGAGAGTTCATGAAGTTTCATGGGAATTTGGTACGAGTGATGTCCCCAGAATCGCTCGGCCTTTTGTTTGAGAGTGCAGCTCTAGCCTTTACACAACCAAGTGTGACCTACAAGGCAGTAGGAGTGGAGTAGGGAGTCCACTATCCATTGGCAGCCGGTGACCGGAGTTCGGTTCATACGCCTTTTTGAATGGGGCCAGATATCCAGGACATCCAACAAGCCCTTTGTCCATACGTCTGCCGGTGAGCACCAGTGAGCTTCATACGTCAGTCATTGGAGGTTTGCAATCAGGGTTTAGCCATCTCCCCTAGACTGTCATCCAATGGACAGTCAACCCGGTGAAGGGCGCCGGGCATCCGCTTTCGCCCTCTCACTTTGGTGAAAAACACCTCCGCCACGTGAAGGCAGTGAGTAGGACTTCCTCAGGAGAGGCTATGTAAGACGCCCGGTCATATGGGAGCATTTCAAGAGGTGTGCGGAGGGGTGGCCAACCCGCAGCGCAAGGCACCCACTCCCGACCATCCTGAGGCTACTAATAATTAATTTACGCCATTTACAGATATCTGCTTTTTACACCTTGTGAAGTACACTTTCCAACAGGAGTTTCCAAGGAGTAGTCATTGAAGTGAAACATGGAAGCTATCCGATCATGTAACTGTAGTGTGCTGAGACTTGTATCAGAACTATTAAGAGACTAAAATCAATCCAGTAATGTCCTATGTAGTGAACCATCATTGTCAGATGATCAGAAATACTAGTCTAAAAAGTCTTAAGCCTAAATAACTTGTGAACACAGACATTAATACAGTAGAGTAGTCATTATATACAGTAGTAAGTCGGAAAAACTTCTTTAACTAACATTGACAACAACTAGTATTTTACATAATATCACCACTGTTTTGAAAAAGCCAAGGGTGATGAAAATAAATGTAGTTGTAGGAAACTAAATTCATTTGTTTAAGACGTCTCCACATTTTTGCGTATCTTACGGTCAGATGACCCAAACGAAAGACGTTAAAGTTAAAACCAGTAAATAAAAACAATACTACATAGTCAAAACTTGAATTATGTAAACTAATTAGTTTCCAAGTATACGTTAGATGAAAGAATCCAAAACACCAATGTCCATTGATTCACTTCTTTTTGTTTTACTTTCTTGTCCACTGGAAAAACTTGAGTAATTATTCCAAATGAAAAGATATTGATACCTGAAAGCTGTAGTGAACCTCAGAAATATTTGACTATTGATCTCATAACCAAGTGAACAATTTTGCTTCATCATCAAAACACCTTTAGTCAGACTTTAAAGCATTATATTATTAAAGAGAATGGATGTGTAGCTGCCTGTACATAAACGAAGTATTACAGTGAATAAAATAACAAAAATACTTAGAGATAAATACTCTCAATTAAAATTACATTGGTGTGGAGTTCCAAACTTGACAAATCAGTCAAGCGTCACCATAGAATACAGTGATATACAATCAAAACTAGAGCTTAGGATAGGTGTGTACGTTTAAGACACTATGTTTGAAAACAGAATACAAAAAAACCTAGAACAAATACGTGACGATACTTTAATAAACAAACATCTGCAAAGTGAGAAAGCACGCTTCAATGAAGTACACGTGAGAGTATCTGTAATTTCGAAGAAAGTAAAAACTGAATACACAGGCACCAGAGTGAACAGTTCCAAACTATGCTACTTAAAGATCCCGACAGCTAATCCCAAGTGACTCACAGACTCCAGCAAGACAAACTTCTCTACAGAATTCATGTCAACAGCTAGGTACTTAATAGGATATATTCACATGTTTCGATCACTTCTAACATTTTTCTAACCTGCCTACTTCTAAATTCCAAGTAGCTTTTGGATAGACTGATGGCATTTATGTGGATGTGAATAGCAAATAATGGTATTAAATTATCAATTACAGTCTTATAGAAACGCCATGTTACTTATACGTTTTCGTTTCTGTTCCCGACTTTCATTCAACGCATGGACCGATTCAACTCAATGCGCTCTAAAAAGCTAATGGAAGTTTAGACAAAACGGAGAAATCATCACCAAATAGGAATGTTTGCCTTGATACACAACTAGATAAAAGGTTTACTTTTGCCAGATAGTTTTAAAATACAAAACAGCCGTTATTTTTGAATGATCTGCCTTAAGGCCCTTAAAAATTATTCGAAAGACCAAGATATCCAAAAAAAACTAAGAGAATTATACTTAAGATACAGGTTTTATTCACACTTTTGCAGAGCAATCCAGTTTAGTTTTCAGTGTCACTATAAAATTCACCTTGATTCCTTATAATTCATCAACATTCACAAGTTCAAATAAAACAAATCAACCTGTAGATGGAACATATATTTCAGTTTATGATGTTACATGCTGGATAAAAAAATGCAGTACACTTTCCCAGTTAATACACTCTACTGTCCAGCCTGATTTCTAAGAAGTACATAAACTTGTTCCTTGATCCAGTTTTTATGATGTGGAACATAAGTATATGTAGGTTCATGAAAAACCAAGCAACTGAGATCAGCCAGTTGATCGATAAACTGGAAAAGTTGAGAAATATCGTAAGTGATTGTAGGAGCGTTCGGTTTTTCACGTTTCAACTGTTCTTCATATATCTTACAAACACCTTCAAGACATTGTTCTACAGTCTCATAGTCAGACCAAGTACGTGTATCTGGCTTCTTCACTGAAGGCTGTACAAGCAATATTGTATGAGGCATTTTGACAGCTAAAATAGAAAGCAATAGTCACTAAAGCTGACACTTAATGAGAAAAGAGAATCGAAGTCATTTTTCGCCAGTATATTTGTGATATCAAAAAAGTACAAGAAAGAAAAGTTAAACAGTTTAAAATAATTTTTAATGAAATAAAAGTGGCTAATATATAGTTAATAAATCTGGAATGAACAGCTTGCACATGTAATTGCTGAAAAATACAGAAACAATGTTAAATGTTTCTTACAGAAATAATTCTAACTCAATCGAAAACTCCAGTGGTCATAAACAGTACATCCTTTTAGCACAGTCACCCATGGCGGCAGTCTTGTAATGAAGTCTGTAAGTGAAGGAGAACACATAGAAGAAGCTTCCTCATCGATATAAACGCCAGAGACAGCGACATCAATAAAACTGGACTGTGATAATACACCTTGAGACTGTTCAAAGACCACCCAAAAAGTCCAAGGTGTCTCCCAAGACACTCCTTTATTACCTACAGCAGCTGCATTCAGATGATACAAAAAGTAGTGTTCACCTTTAGAACTATGAGTTTCACTTTTGAGCACAGGAGGAAGTGGCATAGAAGAAGGATACTTTGCAGTTGATGCAAACGACCATTCAGACAATTTTGTGTTATTTCCATCTGTCCGAATTAAGACGTGAGTATGAGGAGGGCCAGAAACTACAGCAAATGTAAGATTCCATCGCGACTGATTATGTGTTAATTTATCCTTAAGCATGGTACGTGCCAATAACTTTAAACCGACTCCTGGCTCTGCTTTGTGAAATGCAACAGGAATACGGTAAATATACTTGAAAACATGCAAGAGAGGGTAGGCTGAAGCTACGCCACAATATGGTTGACTGTAATTGCACTGCATAGGCTCTGCTCCTACCAATTCTTTGACGCCTCTAAAATCTACTTGTGTGCGATGCTCTTTAGGAATAATAAAAGATGCGGGTGCAGACACAGGGTAAGAATTTGGCGTTAAGTACTGAATACCGTTTGCATCAAGAGGAACGACAAGAATGTGACTTTCATTTTCAGTTATTTCAGGTGAATCTGGAGTATACCGAAAATACCTGTTGGTATGAAATAGAGCAAGACGTTTATACCTCGGGCTGACAAGCGGATCTGAAAAATTTGAAGATGACTGAATACTATATGGAAAGCCATAATTTGAAGCGTGGATAAGAATAACATATGACAAAGAAGCATTCAGTAACATTAAACGAAGAGATTTGCTCGCAGTTTTGGAAGTGCATTGTAGTCTTCCCGAGAATAGAGGCATTACAGGTAACATCATGAGAAACATACAAAGAGAAATTAATAAATCAGGTTTAATCAAATGACCTGCACGCCCCATAATCGGTATGATAGATTCAAAAAATGTAGCACAGCTATAAGAGTGTAATATCATAACGAAGATAAAAGTAATAAAAGCAACGATTTGGAGAATCTTAGACTTGAATAAAGACCCTCTACTGGTAAGGAGTAAACGGAATATGAATGTAAATATGAGCCAAAATGTATAGACATATGATGTAGTAGCATTTATTGAAGACATTGTAAACAACATAACTGTTACCAAAAAACCACTAGAGTCGAAAAAGTCTATCTCTAATAAAAAGGAATTAAAGACAGGATTAAATCGCCATATCTTAAGGAAAAATTTACAGACACCCAGAGAATTGAATACAAGACCTCCAGGAATTCTAAACAGATATGTATGAGACCAGGCAAACCACCAAGCAATTGGCAAAACAAACATACCCAGAATATTGTAGTGGTTTGAATACCATACCATTCTGCAACCATAATGGTGATAAAGGAGTCCCAATGCAGCTGAGAAGCCGAATCCAAGAAACAGAGTAAGTAGTTGCAATACCAAAGCTACACAAAATCCATACCAACTAACAACAGAAAAACCCCTGGCACGAAACATTAGAAAACAGAAACAAACACACATAATATAATTGAAAATTTTCCATATCCACCATGGAGCAACTATTACGATGAAACCAAACACATCGAAGTAAACCATTCGCTTAGAAGCTGAAGTCGTTACAAGTGGAGGCACACTTTTCATATCAGATTGAGAAGCTGAAGACGAAATACTTCGTAAAGTTTCTGATGTATAATTTATAGGAGTAAGTTTAGTAATATTCTGAATTCGCTGATCATTTCCAATAGAAAGAACAAATCTCAAAATGTTATCTCCTGAGTGCGCGAGACACCCATCCGAAATACGAGATTCTGTGTCATATGGTGTATGGTAAACGTACCCGTCGTTAACATAAGCAAGATCTACGCCTGGAATCAGTCCATAGTCACGAAATATTCGATAATCGGTATCTGACGGTATTAATCCAAACTGAAACACATCTTCACCAAAAACACTAGCAAATGGTTGAGTAAAGGATTTCGCATAAGCATCAAGTAATACTTCTGACGAAGACCCTGGACCAGTTTGAAATAGAAAAAGCCTCTTTCCAGCACCTGCACCCTCCAGATTCATGAAGGCTACAATATCCTCTGCCCATTTATGTTGTGTTATGAAGGCGTGACTACTTAGTAGTAGGCTCTCTTCAGCTCCGTTAAAAAGAAACACTAAGTCGTTAAACAGAGTATATGAACCTTTGGATAGTACGCGACAAATCTCCAGCATAACAGCACAGTTGACAAATGCATCGCTAGCACCTGGACTTCCAGGAGCCGTATCATAATGACAGTTAATAAGAAACGCCGATTTATTTTCATTTCCTTGATGAGCACGGGAATCGTGGAAACGAAGAGCGAAGTTTCGCAAATTACTATAAGTTGATACATGGAAAAATGCCCGGAAACTTGAGTAGTTGGATATGTGTTCATCAAAAGAAATTCTCAGACCATTATCATCACCAACAGCTGCGATTGACTTCAGTTCATTCCGTAAGTAATCAGCTGCAGCATATTCATTAGCCTGAGATCCAGCTGTCCGAGGACCAAAACTTGTTACTTTTACAAGATGAGACCTTGCAGCTATCACATCGAAGCTGGAGTTGCAACGGGTACCAGAACATGACCAACAGTCACCCCCGAAGTCAGATAGTAGAACAAATATCACCAGAACAACAATGAGCGAACCCAGAGAGATCAAAAGATTATAGGGACGATCAATTAGTTTATCAAGATCGACACCTTGACGAAATTCATATTCCGAAGGTCCCACAGATGAGTGATTAACTGTGTTGGCATCCTGTAGCGTCCCCGGCCTCCTTCTTCGAATCTCACTCATCTAAACTTGATGAGCAAAATGCACTACATCTGGCGCACATTTTCAAGTCGTGCGGGACTCAGTCCAATATCCAATATCCTTATTACGAGCTAGTATAAATCAGTGATTTCCTTCAGCTCGCTTCTTGATTGTAAGGTAGAGGTTCCAGATCTTCGGTGAACTTATGCGTAGTAAGTCCCGCCACTCGACTGCTTTAGCTCTGGTAGACTCCAAGAGGAGTGATGCGAGGATTGGTCAAGTTGTGGTTTGCAGTGTGCAGTATGTTAGGACTGAGTTGCTGCCGCGAATGGAGTTTGACCTAACACCCGTTGGTCATTCGGTGTAGTCATAAAAGCAGAGTAGTAATAATAATAATAGGTTGTAGTGTAGATAATATAGGTTGAGATAAGTGAAATAATAAGGGTAACCTAAGGAAAAGGTCCAATATCCAATTCTGTTTTCACGAACTAGTGTAAATCAATTTGATTACTTTATACTGTCTTCTTGGTTGTGAGGTAAATTTTCTCGGTCTTTGATAAACTCTTACGAAGTACGTCTAGCTACTCGACTGCTGTAGCTTTGGAGTGCATAGATTAATTATATGTAGTTGGCAGCATGTGATGTATTAAGAACATGTTGCTACTGTGAATGGAGTTGATCCTTTCAATAGTTAGTTTACCGACATTGTCGCAAAAGAGAAGAGATAACAGGTAATAATGGTAAAAGATATAGTTAGTGTAGGTCATGCAGACTAAAAGACAGAAAAAGAAATAAAGAAAACGTTTGAAAAAGACAGCTAATTAAATATGTATTAAATATATGTGCACATATAAATATACATGTATATAATATCAGTAATATTATTAGTATAAGCGTAGTAGCTGGGGTAGTTAGGAGAGTAAGTTGGAAGAGCATGTAAAGAAGTGGAACGGCGAATCTAGTTGTATACCCATGAATGGTGTGCGGGATTTTAAGGGGATAGGCCTGTTGCGGTAAATAATTCCCCAAAATTATTGACCACAGCAATCATCACTGAACATCGGATGCTGACCCTCACTGTTTAAGTCGAATTTTTTAGCTGAAGGCTTCCGGTCAAGCATCCTTGCCATTTGGTACTCCGTCGTGTCATGTGCGTGCACGATCACTAGCTAGTCAAGCACTCGATACGGTTTACTATTTTGGTCCCGAAATATATCACGTACTTTGGACGACTAAATCTGGTCTCTTGCTTTATCTTTGGTACACGAAGAGCGAACACTATAGAAGTTGTTGGTATAAGATCTTGCGTTAGTATACTCCGTACAATTCGCGAACGTCGATACCATCAGCCTCCAAACTGGTAAGCCCAACCGCGAACTTCATCTTCAATAAATAAGCAGATAAACCAGGTGAGTTCGTTCCTTTTTGTGTTTGTTCTTGTACTAAATTGTAATCGGAATACATTTCGTCATGAATGATATTAGCCCCAAGGTTATTCGTATTCGCTCAACTGCCAAAACAATTCAGCTCATACCATATTGGCCAGATAATGCTGAAACGTGGTTTCAGATAGTTGAGTCTGATTTTTGTGAGCATGGGATAACCGATCAACGTTCACAGTTCCTCGCAGTTATTCACGCCCTACCGCGGGAATTCAGCAAGTGCGTAACTGTGTAGATGTCGAGTCCAGAGGTAAGTAACTCGTACGAGTTTCTCAAAGCATCCCTCCTCAGGAGAAACCTGACGGATCGACAGCGTCTGGATGAG